AGGAGAGGACTCTTTAAAGTAGAGACACTACATACTGATATACACCTGAACATCAGCAGGAGAGGACTCTTTAAAGTAGAGACACTACATACTGATATACACCTGAACATCAGCAGGAGAGGACTCTTTAAAGTAGAGACACTACATACTGATATACACCTGACATCAGCAGGAGAGGACTCTTTAAAGTAGAGACACTACATACTGATATACACCTGAACATCAGCAGGAGAGGACTCTTTAAAGTAGAGACACTACATACTGATATACACCTGAACATCAGCAGGAGAGGACTCTTTAAAGTAGAGACACTACGTAACTGAAATACACCTGAACATCAGCAGGAGAGGACTCTTTAAAGTAGAGACACTACATACTGATATACACCTGAACATCAGCAGTAGAGGACTCTTTAAAGTAGAGACACTACATACTGATATACACCTGAACATCAGCAGGAGAGGACTCTTTAAAGTAGAGACACTACATACTGATATACACCTGAACATCAGCAGGAGAGGACTCTTTAAAGTAGAGACACTACATACTGATATACACCTGAACATCAGCAGGAGAGGACTCTTTAAAGTAGATACACTACATACTGATATACACCTGAACATCAGCAGGAGAGGACTCTTTAAAGTAGAGACACTACATACTGATATACACCTGAACATCAGCAGGAGAGGACTCTTTAAAGTAGAGACACTACATACTGATATACACCTGAACATCAGCAGTAGAGGACTCTTTAAAGTAGAGACACTACATACTGATATACACCTGAACATCAGCAGGAGAGGACTCTTTACCTGAACATCAGCAGGAGAGGACTCTTTAAAGTAGAGACACTACATACTGATATACACCTGAACATCAGCAGGAGAGGACTCTTTAAAGTAGAGACACTACATACTGATATACACCTGAACATCAGCAGGAGAGGACTCTTTAAAGTAGAGACACTACATACTGATATACACCTGAACATCAGCAAGGAGAGGACTCTTTAAAGTAGAGACACTACATACTGATATACACCTGAACATCAGCAGGAGAGGACTCTTTAAAGTAGAGACACTACATACTGATATACACCTGAACATCAGCAGGAGAGGACTCTTTAAAGTAGAGACACTACATACTGATATACACCTGAACATCAGCAGGAGAGGACTCTTTAAAGTAGAGACACTACATACTGATATACACCTGAACATCAGCAACAGAGTACTCTTTAAAGTAGAGGCACTACATACTGATATACACCTGAACATCAGCAGGAGAGGACTCTTTAAAGTAGAGACACTACATACTGATATACACCTGAACATCAGCAGGAGAGGACTCTTTAAAGTAGAGACACTACATACTGATACACCTGAACATCAGCAGGAGATGGACTCTTTAAAGTAGAGACACTACATACTGATATCACCTGAACATCAGCAGGAGAGGACTCTTTAAAGTAGAGACACTACATACTGATATACACCTGAACATCAGCAGGAGAGGACTCTTTAAAGTAGAGACACTACATACTGATATACACCTGAACATCAGCAGGAGAGGACTCTTTAAAGTAGAGACACTACATACTGATATACACCTGAACATCAGCAGGAGAGGACTCTTTAAAGTAGAGACACTACATACTGATATACACCTGAACATCAGCAGGAGAGGACTCTTTAAAGTAGAGACACTACATACTGATATACACCTGAACATCAGCAGGAGAGGACTCTTTAAAGTAGAGACACTACATACTGATACACACCTGAACATCAGCAGGAGAGGACTCCTTTAAAGTAGAGACACTAACATAATGATATACACCTGAACATCAGCAGGAGAGGACTCTTTAAAGTAGAGACACTACATACTGATATACACCTGAACATCAGCAGGAGAGGACTCTTTAAAGTAGAGGCACTACATACTGATATACACCTGAACATCAGCAACAGAGGACTCTTTAAAGTAGAGGCACTACATACTGATATACACCTGAACATCAGCAGGAGAGGACTCTTTAAAGTAGAGACACTACATACTGATATACACCTGAACATCAGCAGGAGAGGACTCTTTAAAGTAGAGACACTACATACTGATATACACCTGAACATCAGCAGGAGAGGACTCTTTAAAGTAGAGACACTACATACTGATATACACCTGAACATCAGCAGGAGAGGACTCTTTAAAGTAGAGGCACTACATACTGATATACACCTGAACATCAGCAAGGAGAGGTACTCTTTAAAGTAGAGGCACTACATACTGAAATACACCTGAACATCAGCAGGAAAGGACTCTTTAAAGTAGAGACACTACATACTGATATACACCTGAACATCAGCAACAGAGTACTCTTTAAAGTAGAGACACTACATACTGATATACACCTGAACATCAGCAGGAGAGGACTCTTTAAAGTAGAGACACTACATACTGATATACACCTGATCATTAGAATAATATGTCTTCTTTAAGTCAGTGGAATAACTTTTTTTCTAAAACTATGAATTACATTACATAAAAGTTTGGGAATAAACAAAGTCAAAAGCAGACAAAGAAATACACGTACATATTCTCCTCTTCCTTCAACTAATGCAACCATCATTTAAAATCAAACTAAAAGGAAAAATAAAGCACTTTAACATTAGACAATCTGTATTTGTGACTTTCAAGAGCACTTAAAGGGAAAAAACAATAGGAATAAGAAGTAAGGAATTGCCTCCACTCAGTGACCGTCGTTAAGGAAAACGTATCAATAAAGTTTATTCTTAGAGAAGCTTTTAAAGTATGCTTTTACTACGAAAGACTCCAAACAATAATGAGGTGTTGGTCAACAGAGAAGAGGAAAATGAAATCCGTGCGGAGAAACAATCTCTGTTAATGCACTGCGGAGCGTCCGTCACCAGATCCATCAGGGAGGATTTTATTAGACAACAAAAGAAGAGCCACTCGTTCCCAGAAATGCTTTTATTTACTTTAAATTAGTGTCACTCTTAAAACCAGACTTCCTCTGAAGAAAAAATAAAATGGCATTAGTTTCTTTAAATCTAATGGGTGGTACTTTCTCCCGTCTTACAAAAAAAATCTAATTTCAGGATTTATTAATGTGCTTAACTTCGGTATAATTGAACATTATGGATTCATTTCCACTGATTAAGTTCTCGTCCTTTCTTGCATGGTTTTACATTTCCTGAACAGATCATTGTGAAGTTAATGATAGCCGTCTCTATCATTGACTATTACAAATACACAAATGTATATATTGTAATATTTGGTATTTGCTGAACAATGTGCACATTTATCTAAATTGTACTTGTTTTTGTTTTATTGAGAATGTTACTTTAATGTATGTTTCTATAAATATATGTATTTGATGTTTTTTTTGGATATTTTTACTTTAACTTCTTGTGTTTATTCCAATATTATTGTTATAATTATATATATATATGTAATCCACTGAGACCTGTTGATATGGATAACTATTATCTATATATATCTATCTATCTCTTGCAATAAAGCCATTTTAAATATTCAGAATAATATATTGACTAATCAGAATCAGAATGTTTGAAATCCTATTTTCTGATAGTTAAGTACAATTTGAGGTAATTCACTCAAGCATTCCCATTTTATTATACTTTATATTGTATATATATTCTACTACACTACATTTTTTCAGAAGATAATATTGTACTTTTTCCTCCTGAATTCATTTCCCCCACTTTATATACTTGCAGTTTATTAGCAAATACAAGATATTAACACACTTACAAATGACCATACATATAATTGGAGGTTAAGATATCCAGCAGCCTCAGTATATAAATAAATTAAAAGTAGCTCCACAATCAATATTGCACTTTTTACTCCACTGCATTCATTGTTTCCACTGTCTTTACTTTTAGATTATTAGCGAATACAAGATATAAACATACAAATAATGATATGTTAAGATATCCAGCAGCAGTACATTAAGTATTTAAACACAGCATTGTACTTTTTACTCCACTTCGTTCATTTTTTCCACTGTATTTATTTACTAGTTACTTTTAGATTATAATAAAAGGCATGAACAAACTTACAAATAAATATAATTAGGCTATAGATAAAGATATCCAGCAGTACATTAAGTATTTAAACACATCATTGTACGAGTTACTCCACTACATGTATTATAAGTACAGTAGCCTACTTGAATACATGTCCATTATTAAATCCCACCATGTGTAGCCTATATTTCCTATATGACCACAATGCGCCTCGTGCAGTCTGATTACTGTGCATTCAAACAGCTGGAGGGGTGGGGGGGGGGCAGTGTCGCTCACCTTTCACTGCCGTACAGTAACACAGCCGTTTGACACGAGACAGCCCCCTAGGTGTCTCACTTTCTCAGTGTGTGTGTTTATATATGTGTGTGTGTCTGCAGCGCGAGCCGGCTGCTCGTCTGGCTCTGTGACGTCAGCGCCGTGTTGATTTGCTAAGGCGAGAGAAGAAAGGAGTTAGTGCGTGTTGAGAGAGCGGGTTTATGCGAACTGCCTTACTATGCTGTAGCCCCGCTCCCCTTGCACTATCCCGGATCAAAAAACGTGCAACTTAGGTGAGTACTAACCCGGGTTAACAGCTGCTGTTTCCCCGGTGACAAGTGCCAGGTCCGCGTCTCTGCACGCGCACACCTCTGTCTTCTCTGTGTACTTTAATTCACCATGTGCGTATTTTGATGCGTTTGAGGGGATTTGTGTTACGTTTGTCCCCGTGCAACCTCACGCTGAAGTTGAAACGCGACTTTGGCACTGAGAGTTTATCCGCGCGCCGGAGCGGCTGGAAACAAGTGTTTTTCCTGATTGCGCTGCAAGGTGTTGAAGTTTGCATTAACGTGTATTGTAGAGATGTTAAGGTTGACGTAACCCCCCCTCCCTCCCCAACCTCTCGCTCTGTGTGTCCGTGTGGTTTAGTATGCTAGAGATCGCAGCGCGAGGACGTGAGGTCTGGCTCTTTCCCCAGCAGACAGACAACATATGACGCTCCATGTCACTTTACCGGACACATTTACACGCGTTTTCATGCGAAATTGTGCCCTTTTTAGACAGCGACACTGTTGCCTCGTCCTTGTGTCTCCAGACGCACCAGTGTGGCTCATTTAGCCTTGATGACATCATGATGAGGACTCTGGTCTTTTAGCCGAACACAAGCCCAAATACTCCCTCCGTACTGTACGGTGTGCATTGATTGACAGGCTTTGATTGGTTACTGGTAATCGATGTGCAGTAGCCGCGCGCTGTGAGGTGGGAAACTGGTAACAGATGCAATGGCAAATTGATTTGTTATCGAGACTGTCTGATCCCTCTCTTCCCCCTTTCACTCTCTTTATCCTTCCTCCGGATAATTCCTCCTTCTCATAAATGTTAAACACATTTAATTCCGCCTCAAACAAAGTCCACCTGTGCGGGAGATTCTGGCAGCTGTCTGTCTACTTTTTTTTTTTGGAATAGCTCTCTGATTGTCTCCCTGTAGCATTTGGCGTTCTGCACATCGCTGTGTGTCTGGAATATTGAACGCTGTTTATTCGTGTTGTGGCTGGGTCGCCAAGGCGCGCGAGGCAGACAGCTCGTGATCAGATTGATTATGCTGCTTTCTGTGTGCTTATTGTCAGCGGGCTACATTGTCCTCCAGCGGGGGAAACCTCTCCTGCTTAATGCACTTAATGTACTGTGCGATGTTTTGCATAATGCATAACGCGCTGTATAATTTGTCTGGGCAATATTAACGCTGTCTAGACGCGCCGTGCTTTTTTATTAATAGAGAGCTGGTGAAGTCTTCCCCCCCCCCCCCCCCCCCCCCCCCCCCAAAAAAAACAGGAACTTTACATTGTGCAGCCACAGCTTGTTGGAGCGCAACAAGTATAGATAATTTACGGGGCCATAAATCGCAGCTATTGGCATACCTGTAATAATGATAATGTCTGGTTTTAGGCATGACCTCTGTGTACTCTGTGGTTTCACCATTACCTGATTTTATCGATGTTTATCAACTGTCCCCAAAAAAGCCACAAAGAGTATTTTGAATCCCCATCATTTTGCACATGTTTGCATCATTTACAACCGCTTAGATTTAGGCTTCTGTCTGGGAGTGATATTATTTGTTTTTTAAGTAAAAGTCTCGATATGTTTTCAGTGTGTATTGTTCTCAAACGGGGCGGAAGGAAATAGAGAAGTGCTCACAAACTTCTCTATTTGTTGGGTAAAGCAACAAAAAAAACTGCTTGGATGAAATTGAAATGAAAATAAGAATTATTTTCCAAATAGAAAATGTGTCACATGTTGACTAAGTTGATTAAAGAATTGGACATCAATGAAGCTCATCCACAATGTGGGTCAATGGAGGCACTTAGCCATTCATTCATTCACCCATTCATTTAGAGTATATGAAGACTGCTTCTTTAAATTGTAGCAATGAAGAGAGCATTGTCTCAGTGTAGGTCATACTGACGGCTGAATGAACAGGAGACAGTCCTTCATGTAAAACACATTTAAACTGCGTTGGTCAGAGTGTGCTGCAGATATCAAGTGAAGCAACATGTTGCTGTGTTCTAAAAGGAGTTAACACACACACACACACACACACACATTTATTTGGATATTTAGCAAATGAGAGCAGGGCGTTTGTTTCTGCAGCTTTGTGTTCTGCTGCCATCCCTTTCTGGCCGCCGCTCTCTGCTCTGTGATGAGAATACTGAGTAAGATGCTATTTAATTTCAGAAAGGCTGCGGACGGCCTTTGTGAACCAAGCAGCAGCAGTGGAGAAAAAACACAGTTCACACTTGTTTAACTGTGTGTGCGTCCCCATCAGATAACCAAATGAAGACCTCTTTTTGAACATAACACATGTCGGGGTGATTGGTATGCAGGGGGAGCCTGTTGGACGGCGTGCAAATTGTCTCTCTTCAGAAATCTACAGTCAATACTCTCCGCTGATGTTGAGAACAATGCGACTGCAGAGTGTGTTTACCATCCCTGCAGGATGTTTGCAATTTGAAACTCCACTGACCTCACACATACCATTTAAGACACAAACAATGGTGGACTTTCAATACATGCATTGGCAAATTCACAACATGTTTTAGGAGCAAAATGCAATTAAAGAATCTGCCTTGCACACTTAATTTATCCACGTAGGTGAAACACAGGAGGGTAATAAGAGTAAAGCAGATGATTGTTTGGGGACTCGGATTGAATTTCCTATATTAATTTTTTGGGGAAAAGATTGATTTGCAATTGCTGGATTTGAAACATAAAATTGCATCAGCAGAACTGACTTTTCTTTCCGCTCTCCTTCCAGGTTTTATCTTGTTTACAAAGATAGCTAAAATCACGGCAGAGCGGGGAAGGCGAGCCTCATGAGTTGGCCTCGTGGCTTGCATCGACACAATGGATTTATCTAAAATGGGTATGATCCAGCTCCAGAACCCCAACCATCCCACCGGCCTCCTGCTGAAGGCCAACCAGATGCGTCTGGCGGGGACTTTGTGCGACGTGGTCATCATGGTGGACAACCAGGAGTTCCACGCTCACCGAACTGTCCTCGCCTGCACCAGCAAAATGTTCGAGATCCTCTTCCACCGCAGCAGCCAGCACTACACCCTGGACTTTCTCTCACCAAAGACTTTCCAGCAGATTCTGGAGTACGCTTACACTGCCACGCTGCAGGCCAAGGTGGAGGACCTGGACGACCTTCTCTACGCCGCGGAGATCCTGGAGATCGAGTACCTGGAAGAGCAATGCCTCAAGATCCTGGAGACCATTCAGTCCTCGGATGAGAACGACGTGGAGGTCGGAGGCAGCGCGGAGGAAGAAGACGACCGCAAAGGAGCCAAAAACTCCAAAAAGCATTCCATGGAGGGGTCTTATCTGACCGGAGCCCAGCAGATGGCCATCATGACGGGAATGGTGGATCAAAGCCCGTCTGTTTCCACTTCTTTCGGCATGTCCAACCTGAGTCCCACTAAAGCTGCCGTGGACAGTCTGATGAGCATCGGACAGTCTCTGCTCCAGCAGGGCTTCGGCGGGGAACATCTGCTCCACCACGCCAACTCCAACCAGCTGATGACCGAGATCAAGACCGAGATGATGCAAGTAGACATGGGAGGCAACGGCCACGACAGCCCGCCCAACATGGAGTCCAGCGCCTCTAGCAACGGAGAGCGAATGGGCGAGGACAGGAACCGAGACGGACCGGGAACCCCGACCAGGAGCAGCGTGATCACCAGCGCCCGCGAGCTGCACTACGTCCGCGACGACCAGCAAGTTGACATGAGCCAAATGGGGCTGGAAGCAATGGCGGGGATGACGGAGAAACATCTCGCCTCGCTCTATTCCCTTCCCGTCAATCACAAATCGGACGGCCTCATGTCCATGCCGGCGGCCATGGCAGCGTCCATGGCCTCTCAACTGCCCATGTCCCCGGCCCTGGCCATGTCGATGGACTTCAGCGCCTACGGGGCTCTCCTGCCGCAGAGCTTCATCCAGAGAGAGTTCTTCAGCAAGCTGGGAGAACTGGCGGTCGGCATGAAACCGGACGGCAGGAACCAGCACGAGCGATGCAACGTGTGCGGCGTAGAACTTCCAGATAACGAGGCTGTGGAGCAACACAAGTAAGACGAGTTTGATTGTTTTGTTGTTGAGTTGCAGCTGCTGGCTTATTATTTCATTATTAACATGATTGCTATGGGTGAAAGGGACTCCATGTTAACACTTCCACAGGTGTAAGTCACTTGTTTTTCATTAGGAATCAAAAAGTACATATTGTTGGTGCATGCTCAGTGGAGAAAACAGGAATTTAGTTGTTGCATTTTCTGCCTTTATCAGTGATTATGACGAGTACATCACATTTGTATTGGTGTTAACAAGTGTGCATCGTGTCCAGCAGGAAAGCCAGTCTTTTGGCCTCATTTTAATGAATAATGCTCATCACCATGATTGCTATGGGTAAAAAGGGACTCCATTTGAAAACTTCCACAGGTGTAACGGCCCGTCCACTTCAACAGCTTCAAAAACGGTTTCCAACGCGTCACCCCATTCACTTTGAATGGGGTGACGTCACTTTTCGCCGAACTGCATTGTGGGAAGCAAAGCGGAGATTTCCAGGTATCTCAGGCTTCAAAAGTTGAGCAATGTTCAACTTTTGAATCTTCTGAAGCTTTCGGTGGAAGCGTCAGCCAATCAAATCATATGCCAGTACAAGCTCTAGCCAATCAAACCGCTGCTTGTGTGTCAGGGGCGGGAGATTCATGTGATTGGTTGTTGGTCGAGCTTCAGACACGCCGAGCTCCAAGCTTTTTTTGACGCTGTAGTGTGGACGGGCCGTAAGTCACTTGTTTTTCATTAGGAATTAAAACAAATATATATTTTAAGGCTCAGTTGGTGTCAAATAGAGTAAGTTTGTTCTTTATTTTCTGCGTTTCTTAAGCTAATGTCCCTGGTAAGTGACTATGACTTATTTGCAGCACAGGTAGGACACGTTTCTTTATTTTGAGTTGCTGCTGCTGGCTTATTATTTCGACCTTGGTGCGGCCGTTTGTTTTTTCTCTAATGAATCACATTTTTAATGGCGTTTGCAAGATTACCTCAGCAGTTTGTCTAGCAGAGAGTGAAAGTCTTAAGTCGTTTGGCCTCACAAATTCAGACACCTTTTTTAATAATACTTATTTACATGATTGCTTTGAGTGAAAGGAACTCAATTATAAGGTTTCCCTCATGGGAAGACACCTGCTTTGTACTTAGGAATGCACAAGCACAGCTTTTAAAGGCATGGTTAGTGGAGAAAATATGTTGTTTTTTGCCTTTCACCAATTTTGCACGTCAGTGATTATGACGAGTAAATCAAATGTTTATTGGTGTATGAAATGTAAGTCTTTTGGCCTTAACATTTGCTAACACCTTTTTAATTATCATTATTAACATGATTGCTTTGGGTGAACATGGACTCCATTTGAACACTTCATTCATTAGGAATGAAAAAGTACATATTTTTGGTGCATGCTGAGTGTAGAAAACAGTCATTTAGTTGGTCCATTTTCTGCCTTTCTCAGTGATTATGACGAGTTAATCAAATTTGTATTGTATTAACAAGTTTTCATCATGTCCACCAGAAAGGAGAGTCTTTTGTCCTCAGAACACCTTTTGAATTGATTGCTCATTAACATGATTGCTTAGGACGAAAGGGACTCAATTACAACGCTTTCAACGTTGTAAGTCACTTGTTTTCCATTGGGAATCAGTTAGTGTCAAATAGAGTACGTTTGTTTTTCTGCGTTTCTTAAGCTGATGCTCCTAGTCAGTGACTATGACAAGTAAAATCACCCGACCACACACATGCAAGGTATAACTAAGTGTCCTCTGTTGATGGACACACGCCTTATTTCTGTGGCTCAGACTCGGAGCTGCCTCCAAACCAAACAGCCGGCTCAGGTGACTGTTGTCGTAACATTGTCAAAGCCCATTAGTCACGCCTTACAAGAGGTGGGCGGCAGCTATCACACACACTTACCAAAGTGGTTCCCCCTCATACTGGCACCGAATCCCCTCCCCTTTTCCCATAACTCACGCAAGAGGGGCGCCTTTATTAGCTCGATCATTAGAGCAGACGGTCAGCCCAGGAGATGAGAGCTGAACCCGGGCTCTGAGACTCCGAGGTGGTTCCAGGACAGAAGAGGCGCAGTAAATCAGTGCAGATCAATGTATCTGAATAAAGTAACGCCCTGGAAACAGAATACTCAGATATTCTTAAGAAATGCATTTGTTAACAAGCACCTTGAGGAATTTACTTGCGTCACTTCTTTGTGGATATTGCACAGTCAGTGTTTCTGTGAGCGCAGGCCTTTTTACTCACTGGAAGGCCACCTTTTCACCCTGTAATGTTTGCTTGAATCAATAGGAATGCACAGTGTTTAAAGTTCACTTGAGGATTTGAATAGCTATGCTCTCATACTTGAGCCAGCGTCTTGGTATGCCTGGTCCTTTGAATCTGTCTCAGTGTTGTCTGTATAATGAATATTACAGAATAGCGTTTGCACTCTAAGGAGCTGTGACTTTACAGCGATTAGTGTGCAGTGTTTCTGTTCGTACTGAATTTTATACAAGCGGTGGAATCAGAGACTTTGTAGTTTTGGTACAAATCTGTGTGGCCTTGATGAGTGCTTATTATTCTGGGAATAAAAGAGGAATTTGTTCATGGTTTGACACTATGTGCCTTTTGAAAAAACCGAACAGCAACTTTAACATGCACTAAAGCTTCCTCTGTCATGTAGTCTCCCTGTGTTTTTAAAGGACCGGCTTACAATAGTCTTTCTTGAGAAAAAGTCTGGCGTGTGAAATGGTTGCCTGTGTTTCAAGAGGAATTTCATCAATTCGCTCAAGCTGGGAAATCTTGTATCAAAGGAGATTTCCAGACCGTTTCATGCATTGATCTTCCCGCTTCTCCCCTAGCATGCTAATGGGTTAATTTAGGCTGGTTGATACACCGACACGACACTGTTTAATATTGTACGCGCTGTCCTGACAGCCTCCTGAAGTGTACAAATCAAACATTGCATCATGCACATGAAAGGTCCGCTGTGAGAAGCTTGATAATTCAGACGATCCTTGTGTCCTCACAGATTCCAATGTGGGTCATTTGATAGCACATCAACTAGTCTTTTGCTTGTGTTTCCAAACCGGTCACCTGGTTATTTTGATGTTTTCATCAGTCGTGGTAACTCGGACTAATTACACATCACTCCCCCAACAGCCACTGTGTCAGGGTCACCGCTGCCTCGGCAACACACACATAAAAAAAGTTGGCAGAGTTCACTTGGTGCAGGCAGGTCAAGTCAAACATGAGTGTAATTGTTTCCAGATGTGGCATGGGGTCATTGGTGTGAGGTGTCTATGTTCAAATGAACGTACCAGAAAGTACCCACTTCCTGTCTGAATTGAAGTCTCTGCTGCCTTTCATTCCTCCGTGCCCTGGATCGTATCATAAAGAAACACCCAGACTGAATGCATTGTACAAAGGCTCCACAAGTGGTGTGTGTGGGACGGGGTGCAGACATATATTCAGGGGGGTAGGACTGGGTATTGTGACCTTAACACTCAGTCATTAAACGTCTTGTCAGATTCATAATTTTTAGCTTTCTCTTTCATTAAAATGGTCGAAAAGGAAATAAAAAATATACACATTTATGTTTATTTACGTAAAGTCACTGTGTGCTTGGAGAAAGTGACCTTTTTAAAGCTATCGATGACTCTTCTTTTCTGGAATCAGTTGTGAAACCCAGGTATTTTATTTGTATACAGCTACGATGAATGCTTACTAATTATAAGGAAACTAGGCAATGTGGCATGTGAGGGATGGAAAATAGAAGACAGAGAAATATACACGCAGAAGATGTATAATTAAAGAAACAAAGGTAACGTATTGGACCTAGTATTTGTCCTGTTGCCTTTTGAAAGGCCATGTATTATACAGTAGCTATACAAGAGTGATTTTTAAGGAATCTTAGCAATGTGAGTGAACAGTATCTTGAAGTAGGACTGAGTATCTTAACCTTCACACTTTCCGTACGGATAAAAAGCCTTCAGTCCTTGAACGTCTTTTCAAAATGCAATTTTTTTCTTTGATCATAAAGCTCCACAATGACATCAAATATGTGTATATGTAGGTACATTCATGGCTGCTTGTGTTCATATTGTAGAACTTTGGCTTCTGTTTGGTATCAAATACGTGTTTTTCTGGTATCAGTGATGCACCTTTTGGACCTAGTATGTATTGCAGCTTAATGATAGGCCATGCATCACAGCTACCATACATGTGGACTGCTTCTAAGGAATCTAAGCAATCCCGTCTGACCACAACAACTCCCCCCCCCCATCTTTCCTCCAGCAGTCCAACCAACCTCCTCCCCCCCTTGACAAGCCGGGGATGTATTCCTTAAAGGAAGGCAGGGTGACTGCTGTTACTGAGGGAGACAGGATTACAGCAATATTTTAGTAACCCTTGCTCTGAGAAAATAATCAACCTCAGGAAAGGGCCTGAGTGATTATTGGGGAAATACATGCATGATGCACGGGGCTAATTCTGCCATGGGGAGGGGGAAAGAAAAAGAAAAAAGGCTCCTCTGCTTGGTATTCCAAACACAACATCCAATTCACGGGAACTAGCCTTGGGTTTATCTCTTTCACTTAATCGTCCATTCTCATGCAAATGACTGACCCTCGCTGTAATGTACATCACATAAGTGAAAAAGAGGCTATTTTAAAAGAGAGCTTTTCCAGCATATAGCCGTTAAACATTAGTGATAACATCAAAGCTGTCTTTTTGGTAATGCAGCCTGAAGGGAGAGGAGGGGGAACATGATGCCAATAAATGCCTGCCTCTAATCTCCGTTTTTGCTATTTTTAGTAGTGATGGATGTATTGGGGTACAAGGTGGGAGTGGTGGAAATAATCACCCCTGCATTAACCTCGGCACACGCACACACACTCTGTTTTTTTTTTTACACACAGCAGCAGCCAGCGCCGCTCGCTCTTCCATTTCCTCTCCTTTTGTGGTAGAGGGGTTTCGGAGGGGTCTAATACCTCGGGGCCCAGGTGTTTAAACAGTGGGCCCAAGGCT